AGGGAGAGGGGGAGAGGGAGGGAGGGGGTAGAACGAGAGCATGCCAGAAGCCAGAATGTATCTGCATCTGGGGACAAGGCAGTGGGCACTGGGCCGTGTTTTTTTCATTTCTGACAGCAGAGCATATTCACTCCCTTTTCATTCTACTCCCTAGGATGGAAATATCCCTACTCCACCTGGAGGAGGCGGCTGTGTGAAGCCACCCGTTCAAGTCCCAGCCCCTTCCCGCCCTACCCCCTCCACTCCCACCTATGAATGAGATGGTGAAACCCGACACCTCCGGGAGGAGGCGGGAGGGTGGGCTCATTCATGCCTCCATTTTGTGAATGGAATTCCTGACTCCATTGAGAGGAAGCTGGAGGGGGAGGGGCAGGAGTTCAAGGGCATGTAACCAGATCTCCTCCGGTCTACATCCTTTGAAGGTCAGCAGCGAGAGCGTTTCCCTCCTCCTTCCTCCACCTCACTGCCTGGTGAGACTCAGCTAATGCCCCGGGTTTGAAGAGAGGCGCGCCTTTCTGGTTCTCACTGGGGCAGCCCTGGATTGGGGGGGGAGGGGGAGTTGTGGTTCATCCCCCTACCCCTGAAAGACTGGACATCAGGAAAAGGGAAATTCGAAAGCTCTAGCCAGCTCTGCGCCTACTCGAACCTCAGTATTTATTTTTCTCTTACAAGCTGGCAGATGAATTCAAATTTGGGGATGGCAACAGTGGAACAGAAACCAAGGTTTTCTGGGTCCCTCCTAAATGAGAAAGGCCCTCCCTTCGGGACTTGAGGCTTTGAATTCCAGCTGTTTATGAATGTGGTTGAGCGTATCTCACTCCTGTCCACAGCCAGGCGGAACTAGCAGTCCTATTTCGGTATCCGGCCCCATCAACCCGGAGGCCCCAACAAGAAGGTGGAAACCACACAGTCACCCCGCGTTCCAGTTGGGAACTGAGCCTGGCTAGTTGCGGGTTCATGTTTCTCTTCGTTCAAATCCGTTTATGTGTTTCGGATTATGTGGGGACTGGGACACATCCTATTCATCACTGTGCCTTCCAGCGCCACAAGCCCACACTCCAGGCCGGTAAGGTCATTATAACCTCAAACCCTTGCTGAAGAGAAACAGGAAGAAAGGCTTCCTAGGGAGTCACAAGCTGCCTGAGGGCAAGGACCTGCAAACCACTCATCTTTTATCTGAGTACAAGTTTGCGGACTGGAAAATGACAATTGTTTTGAACCTCCATTAAAAAAAAGCGAGTGGTTGGGTGGTTTGGAGGTAGGCACTGGTAAACGGGCGTGGGGATGGGTGGGTAAAACACTTGGGAGACATTCTGGGTCTAGTGGAACTGTCCATTTGATCACATGCCACCCTCCCCGGCGATGCCCCCCAAACTCCTCCTCCCCCTCCCCGGGAGCATTTCTTACCAGAGTCGTAGGCGAAGTCCGTCTGCTCCTGTTTGATCACCACCCCCGCCCCTGGGTACCTGTGCCCGCTGACTCCACCCTGGCCCACTGGCGGCTGGCCCGCCTGTTCGTACAGGGGGTCAAGGTATTCCTGCTTGAAGCTCTGCTGGGGGTAGGGTGGGCAGGGCTCCGACAGCTGGTGTGGGTAGGGGGCTGGGAGGGGTTCCCGGCCCCCTCCCTGGGAGGATGTGAGGGGGTGGCAAATATCCAAGGGTTGCTGGAAGACAGAGCTGGGTGTGGTTGGAGGGAGAAGGAAGAAGAGATTAATTTGAGCCGTGCTGGGTCCTCGCGCCGGCCACCCCCAGAGCTTGCAGAGTGGGCTCAGGTGTGTGTGTGTGTGTGTGTGTGTGTGTGTGTG